TGATTTGTAAGCTTAGTCCAAAGTGCTTCTCAGTTTTATTTATTTATTTATTTATTTATTTATTTATTTATTTATTTATTTCTCTTAACATATGCTTTAAAATTTTATAATCTGATTACCTAAATCAGAAATATCTCTCATAAGAAGTTACAATTTTCAAAACATTGCTGAATTCATGCTTATTTCTTTTAATGCATGATCCATATTTATAGTATGGGTAATTTGAAAAACAAGGAGACTATAAATATTTTTATATTTGAACTCTCTCCTCTTAAATAACAAGAAATTTGGTCATAGAGAGGTTAAGAAACTTTTATTAAGACATGCAGTTAATCAGTATCAAATCTGTACTCTTGATTTCTTTTTTTCATCTGTCAACTAATAATGCAGAATCCACTAGACAGCAGAGTTATTCTTAGTGTCCTGGGAAAAGTAGTAGAGAAGAGATTATTAAAAATGTAGAATTTATCAGTTTCTATATACCTGGGCAAGGATCCCAGCTGGCACTATGGTTAAAATGCTCAGCTGAAAATTGAAAGTTCGGCAGTTAGATCCTACAGCAGTTTAATAGGAGAAAATTATGATAGTCTACTTCCATAAAGATTTACAACCTTGCAAGTTGGGGTAGTTCTACTCTTCCTTATAGGGAAACTATAGTTGAAACCAACTTGATGGCAATGAGTATATACTTAACCATAATTGTATCAAAAAGTTACCTAAACATTTAACATATAACTTACATTAATAAGTTAGTTAGCTGGTTTGTTAATTTGTTAGCTAGACAGGTAGTTGATTCATTAATTCACTCGTTTGTTTAGTTTTAAACACTGTTTTGAGTGTCATTATCAGTACATTAATGGTATTTATCCAAAACATTGTCTCTCTATAACTGATGTCTCAATTTCAAAGGACAGGTTAAAAGGATGCCATACTGTTAGACACTTTTTTACAAGGATAATTTCTGTTAAAACACACACACATACTGCATTAGAGTTTAAATTCTAAAGTACTTGGTTTGTGGAAGGCTGCAGTCTACAGTGGGAGCCCTAACTCCATTTTGCATCTTGACATAAGTTCAGAAACATTTGAGTTATTTATGTTACTTCCCCAACATTTGCTGATTATTAAATCAGTAATGTGGTTGTACTTACACAAGTCTGGGACAAGCCCAGGGAAGGGCAGCTTGCCCTCAGGAAGACTATAGTTAAAAGTAGATTAACTAGTATTCAGAAAGTGCTCACACAAAGAACTAAGAAACTTGTCTGTGCATTTATCAAAATTTGGAGTCATGGATTTGCATATGAATAATTGATGGTCCAGGCCCCTAGCCTTGTTAGGGATGATTATATTGATTTTCTCCATTGTCTCTTCAAGCAGATGCAGTCTATGTGATTCCTATGTATTCCATCTGATGAGATCCACATATATCATTGTTGTTATGTTGTTGAAAAAGGTATTTGCAATGATTAAGCACAGGTCTTTCGAAATTCTATCAAATCATCTCCAGCTTGATTTCTATTACCAAGACCATATTTTCCAACTACTAATCCATCCTTTGTTTTTGAATTTTGAATTGCAATTAGCAGTAATCATCAATGCATATTGATTCCATGTTTGATCATTTTCAGACTAAAAAAGTTCGTGTTGTTATTAAGTGCCACTAAGTCAGTTCTGAGTCATAGTGACCCTTTATAGGGTCCCCAGGGAGCAATTGGTGGCTTTGAACCACTAACCTAGTGATTAGCTTTGTTGTTGTTGTTAAGTGCCATCGAGTCAGTTCTGACCCATAGCGACCCTGGATAAGGTTTCCGAGGAGCAGCTGGTGAGCTTGAACCGCCAACCTTGTAGTTTAAGCGGCTTTCCAGTCTGGTGTATTAACCCACAGCGCCACATCAGGACTCCTAGTGATTAGCTTAAGTAGAATTAAATCCAATGCTTTTACTACAGCACCATACCAGAATTTTGAAGAAGTTTGTAGAATTCTTTAATTTATTTATCACTAGCATTAGTCATTGGCATGCAAATTAGCTAATCTTCCTTGTAGACTTAGAGATACTGTATTATCAATCAGTATTGTTCTTCAAGTTAGATCTTAAAATCCTTTTGACAAAGAATACAACACCATTCCTCATCAACCTGTCATTCTGACTGAAAGGGAAAAAACAACTCCGGGCCTCACACCAAACGGCCCATCTAGACTTTTATTCACGGTGAGGAAGGTAACCTCTGCCTGAGAGAGAAGGTAGGAGGCAGAAGGGAAGAGAGGAAGAAGAAGAGGAGTAGAAAGAGAAGAGGGCAGAAATAAGAGGAAGAGGAGAAGAGAGAGTCAACAGGAAGGGAGGGGATTTATATAGATTCAACAGGAAGGGAGTGATCATTGCTGGGGTGATTTAGCTCTGGCCTATCAAAAGCCATGTTGTCCTTTAAACTACGCGCCTTGTAGCTTAGGGCGGGGAAACAGACAAAATGGAGTTGGAAGGAGGGGAGAGGGAAGAACTGGAAGGTATTGTAACATTGTAACACTGACATAATAAACTATATGACTGTCCAATACAAAATGGCCAATACCAGTCCATTTTACTTCAGTATTGCCTAGGATATTGGATATTGCCTAGGATATTATACATTTCATTTCATTTTTTACAACTTCCAATTTTCATACTTTGAGCATTTCACGTTTCAATTATTAATGGTTGATTGCAGCTGTTTATTTTCTCATTTTGAGTTGAATCAGCAAGTAAAGGTCCTGAAAGCTTTACTCCATCCTTGTCAGTAAAGTCAATTCTACTTTTAGAAGGCAGGTCTTCTTCAATTGTATTCTGGTGCCTTCCAACCTGAAAGGTTCATTTTTTGGAACTATATCAGATAATGTACTGCTACTATTCAAAAGGAACCCTGGTATGGTGCTGTGGGATAAGCACTGGCCTTCTAACCACAAAATAAGTGGTTCAAACCCACCAGCCACTCCTCAGAAACCCTATACAGGGTCACAATGAGTCAGTATTGACTTGACAGCACTTCACAACAACAACTATTCAAAAGGTTTTAAGTGATTAGTGCTGTTGAGAAGTGTCGTCAAGTCAATTCCGTCTCATAGCAAACCTGTACAGTGTTTCTAAGGCTTTTAAATTTTTGTGGGAACAGAAAGCCTAATCTTTTTACTGTGGAGTGGCTGGTGGGCCCAAATCGACCTTAAGATTTACAGTCCAATGCTTATCCACAGTGCTCCCTTTTCAGTGGCCAATCCTTCATAAATGAACCATTTATTCTATCTCTCTAGTCTTAGTCTGAAAGCTCCATTGAAACTGTCATGAATGGTGACCCTGCTAGCACTTGAAATACAAGAAGCATAGCTTCCAGAATCACAGCAACATGGAAGACACCACAGGATATCAAACTGACAGACAAGTGGTGGCAACAATCAATATAAAGTGTACAATCTTGTTATTCATAAATTGGAATGGCTATTATACTCTTACCATAATAATCTCTGGGTTAATATTAAAAGTTCTTCTTGATTCCAGATTTTCTTTGAAGTCCTCTAAGTTTGACAGCATCTCTGCACCTCTAGAACTCTAGTTTGTACAGTGGTTTGAACCAGTGTTTTGCTATTGCTCTGCTGTTGCCATAAATCTCAACACATTCTATTCCATTGGGTATGACAGGGTTTGCTGTTGTACCAAGTAACTGGTAGTGTGAAATCAACAGGATATCAGGCTACAAATTGTTCAGT